GAAAACAAAAGGGAACAGAGCGCCACCTCCGTGTGTAAAATCGTTTATTACAATAAATAAAACAAGGGATAAAAGTACTCACAAACAAACGTTTTCATCAGGCTTTACCAACAAACGAGAGGCCACACTGTCTGTTGACCCAACATGGTATCCCCCCGACTATGTAACACGGTAGTATCCGGTCACATCACCGTCCACCGACCGCAGTCAGCCAAGATTGACGCGTTTCAGGGGCTGAGGAAGGGGGCTTGCTTGTTAAAGGGGGTTTGTTGTTAAAGCCTGATGAAAACGTTTGTTTGTGAGTACTTTTATCCCTTGTTTTATTTATTGTAATAAACGATTTTACACACGGAGGTGGCGCTCTGTTCCCTTTTGTTTTAACAGTAAGAAAAGATTAAGTCGGTTTGACAAGGACTCGAACTAGCACAACGGCCACTTTTTTCACAGGTTTGCCATTGGGAAAAATCCAAATGACATTGCAGTCACTTATCTGACCATCTTCTACTTGCTCAATGAAAACAAATGTCACCCAGAATATCCAATGTCATTGTTGAGTCCTGGGGATTAATTTGGTGAAAAAATATTTTTATATAGTTTTAGGAAATATTTATTTTTATTTTGTATTTTTTCATATTTTGATTGTACTCTATTTTTCTTCATGGGGTGTTTTGGACCTGGTCTTCCATGTAGCTGTAAAGCAGCAGATCACTTCTAATAGTGCAATTAGCCTGCAATAGATCCCTATAGCAGGGAAATTTTGCTGCAGGGACTCTGGACAGAGTAGTAACAGCTCTGTCCTCGCCTCCATACTCAGAGGAAGTGCAGTGACATCACTACACTCCAATGGTAAACAGAATGCGGAAGAATTCTGTTTTATATTTGCATCTACATTCTGTGAAAGCATCAGAAGCTTGAAATGATCAGCTTCTAGGCTTAACGCTGGACCCCAGCTGTGAGAGACAGCTGACGTTTTCAGCCTACATGCCAGCATGGGCTCCCGGATGCCTCTGAAACCACCCACTGTTTTGAGATGTTACATAGTTACATAGTATTTGAGGTTGAATAAAGACATTAGTCCATCAAGTCCAACCTATAGGATCTTTGCTGGGACAAAATATCCATTATCCCAACGCTGTTTTAAAATGGTGGCTGGCACTCAAGAAGATGAGTGACAGACCAGCAGGAGGTGTAAAAGGTTTATTTTATAGCAGGCAGAGTAAGCATGCTGTACTACTTTTGCCATGCTCCATCACTGCCAGAGCCTTAAACTCCTGTGTATGTTTTGTTACCCTGAGAAACTTAAACTTAGAAAGGGCTAAAAACGTTTCCCCTCTCACCTCCACATGACAATCGTCAGGACTGATAATTAGCCAATGGGCAGTGCCACGTTTCTCTATGCCTAGAAGTACCGGGTGGTTTTTGAGGCTCTTGCAGTGGGGAGCATAGTTAAGATAAATATATCATATTTGCTATGCCTGGTATAAATTATTATTTTGCCTACTATGAATTTCCTGCTTGTAAAGAATTATAGTTACAACTTTTTCTGTTTTTTGTGTAGGCTCAAAACCGGTTTAAAGTTCCACTGGGGACAAAATTCTATCGAGTGAAAGCAGTGCCATGGAATAAGAAAGTCTAACTGCCCTCTACCACTACTGTCAAGTTTTTCTTCTGGCTTCCTGGACAGTACTCAGCCCAAACACCTGGCCACCTTTTTCTACTAAGATCAGAGTAGCAGTCCTCACTGGTGTTATATAATTTTTCTAAGGGTTATGTTGTAGAAATGTACATTTCATCTGAGGATTCTGCATATTTGTCCCATTTTTTTCACCAAAAGTACTTAGAAATGTGGACCAAGGGAAATTCATTTTTTTTCCAAGCAACATATGATAATGCATCATGTTTTTACCATACTTTTCTGCCTGTTCAATATAAATTAGCTTGTACCTAGATGTTAAATGTTAGTTACCATTATTACCAGCATTTGTCTCTAAAGTGAAACACATTTATTCGCACTATCGGCACTCTTCAACACAACCATAATAATCTGTACAAATTTGGCAACAGAGGAGAGTGTATTATGGCATGCAGATAATCACCATTTTCTTTAATATAAGTTTGCCTCCATAAAGAAGTAAGATATCTATAGGCCTATGTCTCTTTACTTAAATATGGCTTGTTAATATGAAAAAGGAAAAAAAATGCAGATAAAAAAATAATTTTACTGGCTGGTCGCAGCTTTTCAATGCACTTTTGATTAAATGATTTATTTATGGGCTGTTCTGAAGGAAAGAATGTATACAGCACTAAATGGTATAAATGCTGAAACAAAACCCAGCCATAGAGAAACCTTTTATTATGTTCAGTAAATTCTGTTGATACAACTGTATTTTATTGATTGAGTTTCAGACAAAAGAACTTCATTGTACATTAACCATACTTAAGTAACAAAATATTGTATTGCAAAAACATGTAGAGTTTTAAAACAATAAAGATTTAAAACTGTAAATGTTTGAAAATCTGTCTTTTAAAGATGCATTCTGTAAATATAATTAAAAAAAACACATTATTGTGCATAATTTTATTCATGCATCTAAGTTATGTGAAATGTTATGCTCTAGTAATGTTTTCCAATAAAACGAGGGAAAAGTGTGTGCTTTTTGGTTTGCTGTTTGCAAGTGTATATAGCAGTCCTGGGAATTTTATCATTCTAATAATTTTTTTTACAAATGGCCTTTATAAGAAAGTCAGGTTTTGCTTGGTGGCATCTGTTTTGAAGTGGATTCTGCACGTTGACTGGGTTTATTTTTCACTAAATGATGACTGTCTGTTTTGCCTCGTGGAAGCCAATCACATTCAGCCTCAAGTTTGAAATTGCTTGACTTTAATTTAGCAGACCACAGCTGGCAGGGAAAGCTAAAAGTAGTGCTATGTAACGCAGAAAGCCACAACTTCCCACTTTAACATAACACAGACACTTGCTTCAAAGACTTTGATAAAATTGTGAAGCTCTGAGTAGAGAACTTCTTTCAGCTGCTCCACCCACCATACCCATTGCACTCCAGGAACGTACTTGTTTCTCTCACATCCAATATGCTGCTTCTTTTGTCCCTGCTTTCCTCACTAACCTCTGATATCTGTAACTTAACACAATGCATCAAACATTGGAAGCAAATTTAAGACTGATACATTTTAGAGAAATAAATAATGGAATATACATGCCTAATAATTTGTATATATTTGGCAAAAGAGAGCGTGTAACAGCGTGCAGATAATAACCCTTTTCTTTAATATGATTGCCTCCATAAATTCATCAGATATTTATAGGCCTTTGTCACTTTACCTAAATAAGAGTGTTTAGATAACATAACTGCAAACATTTTTTTTTCTGTAGCTCTAAATGAGACTTCTATACCTGCCAACAGGTAGTCTGGGCCACTCTTCTTGAGTAAACTGCTCCAGCTGTCTCAGGTTCAAAGTGTGCCTTCTCCAAACTGCATGTTTCAGCTCTATCTATAAATGCTCGATAGGATTCAGATCAGGATTCATAGAAGGCCACTTCAGAGAAGACATGTTTTGTTCCTAACCATTTGTGGATATTTTTAACAGTTTTAAAAAACAGGTCATTATCCTGTTGGATGATCTATGGCCTGTGACTGAGACAGAGCTTTCTGACACTGTGCAGCATGTTTCACTCCAGAATTCCTTAGTAGTTGAGATTTCATTGTTTCCTGTACAGACACAAGGCACCCCATGACAAATTCAACAAAGCTGCCCCAAAACATAACTGAGCCTCCTCTATATTTTACAGAAAGTATTCTTTTCTTTGAAAGTTCTATTCTTATGTCTGTGAACATAGGTCTGATGTGACTATCCCGAAAGCTCCAGTTTTGTCTCATTTGCTGTGAAGGATTTCTTCAAGAAGCATCATTGTGGCTTGTCAATAGGAATGTTAGCATAGTTCAGTCTCTATGTTATTCTCTTAACACTAGAATCCTCCTGGGTCTTCCTTTGAGCCAACTGTCACTCAGAAAGTGATGGTGCGATCATTCACTGATGTACCTTGACCTTAGAGTTCAGGTTATATCTCTTTTGAAATTTTTCCTTGACTCTACTTCTACCATTTGCACTCTCCTTCTGGTTAATTTGGAGTCAACTTTCCTCTTGTGGCCACATCCATGGAAGATGACTAAATTCATAAATATTTGCAAGTGTGGTAATGGAAAAATAAAGCTATTTACAGATGGTCTTATAGCCTTTACTTCTGAAATGCTAGTCTATACTTTTCTTTCTGGTCTCCTCAGACTCTCCCAATTGCTTTCTCTGGTCCATGTTCAGTGTGGTGCACACAATAATACCAATTAATTGGGGCACTGGTAAAGGCAGCAACCTTCTTTCTAAATTAGTTCTGCTAATTTTAGAATCCTCTGGCAGTGTGTGAGAATAGGGTCTTTCTCTAACAACTTATCTAGTTCTCTTCTCCCTCACTAGGACCAGGATGGATGAGGCCTTAATACTCAGCACAGTATCTAGGCTTCCAGATACGATATAAAACTTGCAAGGACCCTTCTAGAAGTTTTGCAACAGATATTTTACAGTTTTCATATTTAACAACTCTCCAATCACAACCTGGTGGGTTGTGCCAACCAACATTGATCCCCAAAGCACACTTGCTAATCCAACAAAGGCTGGCAAATAATTTAACACAAAACACTCCAAGAATACGGCACTCTGGAAGGAACCTGACAAAAAAATGAGCATTAAGAAGTGCACTGGGTAACTAAATCTCTACATTATTTTAATGTGTCTTGAATGCTGTACTTGGTGACGGTGTCTTTTCAAGCTTGCTACAGCTTTACTTTTAAGTGTAGCTCCACTTTTGTTCAGAAAAGAAGAGCAATCCCCTCAAGGTGATATATGTAAGTTGAAAGGATTTCACCAAACTTTGTTGTCGATTCCTACCTTTTTCTGTTATGAAGAAATTGCTGTTTGGTTTACTGTGTTCTTATCTGATCAAATGTCAGCATTTTAATGAGGAAATCTGCAGTGTCTGTATCCCTGTAGTAGACAAGTCACAGGGAGTATCTCACCAAACAAATTCCTTTTGCAGAGGATGCCTAAAATTTTACCTGTATCTAAGCCTCCAGGTTGCCATATTGCATTAAATTGCAGCTGCTGCTGATTGAAATGGAAAGGTAATTTTTAATAACATTAAATTACAAAATGGCGTGTGTAGCTATTTTCTTTGCTATATTTATTTTAAACAAAACTGGAGTTTCCCTTTAAGTATACAAAGCAAATTGTACAGAAAGAAGGAGGCGTCCCATCTCATCCCTACTACCATGACCACATTGCAATTCTTGGTGCACTGCTAAGCTTTGTTTTCTGTGGCTCCGTGCCTAAAAATGCATACCAGCCGCATTAGCATCTCAATTAAGTGTTAAAAGGGACATAGAGGCTGCAGTTGGGATTTTTTTGACCTGCACACACACATGCTAATATATTAATTAATTATTAGACAATAATCATATGACTTACCATGCATTTGTGTAAACCGAGTACCCAGAGAAAACCCATGCAAATACAAGGAGAACATGCAAACCAAGAACGCCATTGCTGCAAGAAAAAACTAGTGTTAAACCACCGTGAGGCCCGCTAAAGATACATTTTACTTTTTATTTAGAAGGAATATTTTTGAATGCTTCTCATGTGACCTGATGTTCTTCCTTCGTGTCATGGCTTCGGGGCCTCTTTGTGTTCTGTGTAAGTTCAGTCCAAAGCAAAAAAATTGATCAGATGATAATATTTTATGTCCTGGTTATGTTCTGAGCGCTACTTGTATTTACAATGTCATGAATGGAATTATGCCTTCATCACTGTAACACCAATACCTAAGTACATTCTTTGTCACATTAATTATGACATCCTAACTTCAAAAGGGAAAAAGATCTGTCACAAATGGCAGGATTTATTTTCATACGTAATATATTCCAAGCGTTATGTGCTATACAGCCATGCTACTGTGTAAATCTAGAGCAGGAGACACAAACTAGGAAACTTCTTGTCGTTTCAAAGCTCTGTTGTTAATCATTAGTTAAAGGTTACATTCATTGTACATGCAGAAAAGGAATAATAAAAGGTTGTAATGACAAGGACATTTATGGAGACTTTTCCTGACTCATGGGAGGGCTCATAGCTTAGCAGGTAGAATGCAGCTATTCTAAAAGTGCTGTATTTGTAAATGTCTTTTTAACATATCATTGTGCACACCTAGAGCAAACTGACATCTTTGCAGAGTTCTTTCTGGTTTGGCGTGTAACATTAGGGAACGTGTATCTTCTAGCTGACAGTGGAGAGGGCTGATAGATGTGCAGGATTCTGAGAAATCTGCTGGGGGAAGTAAGGTTGCAGACAGGAACTAAGAGCAGGAGGATAGCGCTTGGAACTGATAGAATGCCCTAGAGCTTGGAAAAAAAAGTCAGACACATTACCTGCACTCCTTCCAAGGATATACACTATAGTGAGGCTCTACTACAGATGAGCAGCCAAAATGCTGTGTTCCCAGGTCATACATTTTGGGGGATGGCTCTAGTAAAGTATAGCCTTGATGAAAAATTACATAAGGGTGAAAAATGAAATAGTGCAGGAATGATGGTGTTCCCTTTTTATATTTTGGTTGGTGTGTAACTCCAAACAGAATCTATAAATAAGCAGCCCTTTTAGTCAAGCTTAAAGCATATTTAAGCCCAAAAACAAAAATGGACTTACTGGGGCTGCCCTTCCTCCCCACTTATTTATATTATCACGCTTGAATCTTTTCTTCACGCAATCAGGTCTAACCTGGATATCCATGTTCTAACTATCAGTAACACTACTCGTAAAGTCACTTTTTATGAGTGACCTTATGGGGGTGATTTACTAACCTAAACACATGCAGGCACCAGGTGCGTGTGATTTTTACACAGCAAAACGTATTTATCAACCAAAAAGTCTCTAAAAGCATATTTCCACTAATGCCATATATGGAAAAATCATGCACATGATGCATATATAATGCTGCTTCACAGTTTAGACAAAAATGGTTAGCTCATGCATTTACATTCCTGCATTCATCAACGCAAGCAACACAATGTAGAGCTAATTTACACAACATCACCTTGCAATTCATGCAGGGCTTTGCACAACACACCTGCTGGGTGTGTACACACTACAAAGGTGTCTAGATTCCACCAATAGATCATGCTGGGAGGGAACACACTACAGAGGTGTTTACTTGTTCGTGGCGTGTTTATAAGGTTAGTAAATCAACCCCTATGAGTCACTGCTGACAACTTGCTGTTTTTACATGACCTAGCTTAGGACACCTCTTCCAACACTTCTCCAGGAATTGAGGACTTATAATTCCCTGTCTAATTATTATGCTAACCTACAAAAGTCAGAAACATTGAATGTTACTGTTCAACTGGATGTGGTTGACAGTCTACAACCTACCTCTACAACCTACCGCTTTTCCACGTAAGCTGCAAAAAGATCTTCAATCTAATCAAAACTGTGGTTTAGGCAGATTTAATGCGTTAAAAACACCTACCTAAACTCTTTAATTTAATACAGATTCTTCCAGTCTCGATACCTCAAAGTTTG